TGATGCTAACATACAAGCTAACCAACCACCTTGTTAGTGTGCTGTTCTTCTATACAAAGATATGGTTTACAGAGAGAAGAAAAGAGAAGAAAAGGAAAAGGAAAAAAGAAAAAAGGGAACAATACAGTCAGAATAGAATTAAGTCATTAAACTAATAGAATCAATGAAGCACACTCTGAGACATTTCGTTTAAGTCCAATGTCCTTTCAGGTCTGATTTCCAGTTTTTTTTTTCAAGCTGGTAAATTAGTTTGCAGTTAGGGTCTGTTGCCCCTGGTCTCCTGTGAAGGACAGTTCAGATTACCCTCCGTTCGCTTGTTTCTCCCGTTTCGGTGTTGTTACCTTGAATCGCCAGCAGGTGGTGCTATCTCAGCTGCTCGCCCCAGAGGGGGTGGGGCCGGACAGGAATAAGATGGCTGCCTGCCTCTGAGCAGGCAACAGGAGCCTTACGCCGGGCGGGCAGGACAGTCTCGGTTGCAGGAGAGGTGGCAGCGATCCTGGCAGATCTTCCCTGAAGGGGTTTGATGTGGATCGCCTCGGGCCCAGGTGGTGTGATGTGCTACCCGTCATAGAGGTCGCGGCAGCGGCGATGACGGCAGCGGCAGCGGGGGGAGGGGCTCCCGCGGTAGCGGCGGTGGCACTGTTTGCACCACAGTAACTGTCCAGTCCATTGCGATGTCCCAGTGGTGGCAACGGCCGAGTTCTGTATGAAGAGCAGGTTGCGATGTTGGGGTCCCCAGCCCCCGGGGGCGAGAGTCAGAGACCCACTGCAGATCTCCTTTGCAGAGGGCTTCAGAGACCGGGTTGCCCCGTCACCATCTTGCCGCTTCCCGAGTCGGAGTCTTACCATCACGAAGGCTGGAGCACAGTGGCACATGCTTACGGCCACTGCAACCTCAACCTGCTGGGCTCAGGCGATCCTTCTAGCCTTAGCCTTCCAAGTAGCTGGAACCACAGGCATGCGCCCCCATGTCTGACTAATTTTTGGATTTATTGTAGAGATGAAGTCTCCCCATGTTGCCCAAGATGGTCTTGGATCTTTGGGCTCAGGCAATCCTCTCATCTCTGTCTTCCAAAGTGCTGGAATTACAGGAGCCCCCATGCCTGGCCTCTTTCTTCCTTCCTAATGAGCAAAACAAGTATTGAAAGTGCTCTCTCTCTCTCTCTCTCTCTCTCTCTCTCTCTCTCTCTCCCCCTCTCCCTCTCCCTCTCTCCCTCTCCCTCTCTCTTTCTCTAGTAAACATTTTATTGTGTCTTTTTATAATATATAAAGAAGGCCTATAGTTCCTGTGGATATGCTTATTAAGTCTTGTCACTTAAAGTGGTCTCGGGAGACTCAACTGTAAACCCTGTTTGTGTGTGTGTATGTGTGTGTGTGTGTGTGATTGTTTTGTTTTCTTCTAAATAGCATTAGCTTCTGGAAATATCTATTAGTCATACCTGCTGAAAGTTTAAATATTAAATATTTTACATTTTTTGTTAAAACCTGTCTTGTAGTACATTACTTAAATTATTTATAGAAGAAAGCAGTCTTGCATCTACTGTAAAGATTAATAGAAGCATTTTACTTTTCAACACTGCAATGCCAAATATTCTTAGGGAAGGCCTCTTGATTCTTCCACTATTTTGAGATAACTAAGTTGATTCTGGCTAGCATCAGGAGCATATATTTAAGGCCTAGGTTTTAAATCAAGTTTTTCTGGGATGCAAAAACTTACTGAGTATTTACTTTTTTTCCTCTCTAGTTTGCCTGAAGCAATTTACATTAGCTAATTTGTTTTAAATGCCTATTTAGCATTATTGTAACTTTTAAGTGTGCACTATGTCTTGTAGATATTTATAAAAGTAATAAATTCTGTCTTTCTAGGTCTTCGTTAGTAAAATAATTATTTGTAATTCATCTAAATTAAATATGGCTTGAATAAATAATTTTGAGTAGAATTTAAAGGCATCTATAGAACAATTCACATTATAGTTATTTAACTAGGTTGGTAAGGTATATAGAAAGGCATATACTCAAATTCACATTACACACAAAGCATTCTTATAATAAGTACCAACGACATGATCACAGAAAAGAGTTGAAATAGTCACATATTTTTGTAAGTTTCCTGTTATACCCTTTCTCTACATGGTTTGCTTCTGGTTTTTCCTAAGAGGAATAATTATCTTTTCTTAGCATTACAGTTGCATGTGGATGAAAAACCTGTTTTATCCTGTATTTTAAATTATGCCCCCATTTCTTCTGCCATTGACTGCATGAGACAACTATAGTGCATGAACCTGAGAACAATTTATTGACAAAGTCCCTGCTTCTGTCTTTATGGGAGTCGGTTGATTTATTACTACCGAGTTGCATAAGAGCATCAACATCACTGATTAGTGTGATACACAAAAACCTGCTGTCTTTGTGTGTTTTAGCTCTTGATGCCAGGGCAGGGGAGACAGCAAAAGTGTATGCTGGAAGCTTGTAACTGCTAATATGTTAGTTTTTCATGGAAGATATTTTAGTTTTTACCCAAGAAAGATGAGAGATGGTATATAGTTTCAGTAGTGGGTCAAATAATCTGAGCAATTGCAGGAAACTTCCATAATATTCATCAAATGTTAAAATCTCTTAGTAGAAAGTATGCAGACATGTAATTGGTAAAGGACAAGAACTTTTTGGGAATCATGGTGAGATTTTGATAGTACCAAATGCTATAAAACCTGTCATGGCTCAGCCATCTGTCTTCCCTTGGAAGTATCCAAAACGTCAAAGTATGGAAAAGTAGCATAGTAGAATCAGCCAGGACTTCAGTCCAGAGTCCTAGTGTTAAAGTCTAGGTAGCTGTCTTTGACGATATGGAAGAATATTTTCCCTAATTTGATGATATCTAAATGTCTTTGAACCAAAATGACCTTTAAGCCCATTTGTTCTAGTCCTTGACTATGCAAATAGTCTTCAGCCTTACAACTGTAGAGAGATGTTTCTTTCACTAGGTGGATGAAAACTCCATTTTTCTAGACACCAGCCCGAATCAGCAATTTTACCATCTTTAAATTTGGATTATTCCAACAATAAGACTCGTGTATCCTACTTCATCCAAAGTTTCAAACAGTCAACAGGGCACCTTGAAATACTGTCTAGCTGTCCTTATATCAATAATTATTTCCAATTATAAGTGGTAATCTGGAATCAACTCTGGCCCTTAGAACAGTTTAAATAAATTAAATGGTCCTTGGACATAGTGTACTTTATAAGTTAAATCCATACTACTATTTATCAGCCTTATATAGCAGAACAGAGGAATGGTTTATGTTATTTTGGGTATTAGTCTAGGAGGTAGTCAAGGAAACAGAAGAGATGAAAAGAAAATAGACTTTTGGTCTCAGCTTTCCCATGTCATGATTCAGTCATTGTCAGTTATCTGCATTCTATAGCCAGATCTTAGTATTTAGTTGGCATGGCTTAATAGCACAGCCATGTATTTTTCACCCAAATCTCATAGAATACCCAATATCTTCTTGAAAACCTCCTTTCAGTGTCAGTATGCTTCCCAAGCAGCTGCCTCTTGGAGGCTTACTGAAAACCAGTGTATCTTCTGCTGGGTTTACCCCCCATGCATTACCTTTCTTCGCCTTTTTATTCTTAATCTCAGGGTGAATTTCAGTATTTTGATCCTATTTCAACACATATTTTCCGACTCTAGCGTAATGTAATACCGGAAAGAAACATGCTGAAATTAAGAAATAGGATATGTGGGTGATAAACAGCCTGGGAAAGCAGAAACGGTGCCCTTGACTAGTACCCAACAGAAAGCCTGCACTTCAGGGCAGTGTTTGTTTTAAGGTTAGCTTGGCCAGGCTCCAGAAGTTATTGCTCCAGAGCTGTGTTAATGTGCCTTGTGCTTCTCCACATAGAGCACAGGAAATATGGCTCTACTCTGAGGCTTGGAGAGAACGTGTGGCTTCGGAAGAGTCTCTGTTTTATCCAGGCTCGAAACGCTACTTAATTTATAGAATGTCAGTTGATATTATAATTTCATTCATTCTTTGCCTACTGGGAAACTAAACAAGCAAACAGAAAAAAAAGTAAAGAACCACAAAACCAAAAACCTGCTAAAGTTAGTAAAAGTAAAAGAAAAAAAATCAAAAAGTCTTCGTTGATCAGTTCACATCTCCAATGTTGATGTATCTTCTACAGTACATCCTTCATGTTCAGCCAGAAGGAATTGATTTCACCATGTAAGTTTTTTTATTGTATTGCTTATGCTTTAATTCTTTGCCAAGTTATTTACAGCCTTAAAACTCAGTTTTTCTCAGTTCAGTGCTCATTTGTATTCTATTACTTATGACATCTGCGTCAAACTTTCTTGACTAAGAAATTTACCATAATTAATATTAGTATGTGTATATATGTCACATACTAATCAAATAATATATACAAATTACAAAGCCACATAAAAATTTTTAAAAATCTTATTTTCTTTTTTATACTGTTCTCTTTCTGTTAATTTTCCTCTGTTCCTTTCTCATGTTCTTACTGTATCTAACTCTTTGCTGGTATTGCATAAATCTGTGTCAACTAAAGATTTCCTATCCTAGAAGTTTTGTCCTCTCATCCAAATATTATCTAAGGCTAAAACTTTGAAGAAAATAATTACTCTAAGGCAACTTAGTAGGTGGGAACAAAGGCGAGGCATGAAAACATGAAACTTCTTTTTTATTCAAACCATGTAACAGCTTCTTACAATATTTTTAATTATTAGGCTAAATAATAGAAGATCTTTCTTCCATTTCTACAGTGGAGACAATTATAGTGGAGCTATGTAACTACTATTATTATTATCATTACTGCTAACTACACCTTAACAGCTATTAGTTTCATTTTATATATAGCTATAATTATGTAAAACCATGTATTAATGGAAAAATGAAAGGAGAAAATGTCCTCAAATTTAATACATTCCCTTTATCTCAATTGTTTCAGTAACATATATTTCTCTAAATCTGTCTTAGTCCCTGAACTTCATGGAAAAAACAAGCCATTGATCTCTTATGTGGGCGATTCTACTGTCTTGATGTGTAAATGCCAAGGTTGTTTTCCTTTAAATTGGACTTGGTACACTAGTAATGGGAGTGTACAGGTAAGATCATATTTCTTTGATTTGAAGAAAACCAAAAAATCCATGTTTTAAATAAATAACAAGATTGTAACATACTCAAAATTGCTAGGATTATTTATACTTCTGTTATCTTCTTCTTTAGTATGTATTCATAAAGAATGGTGATAAATGGAGTTGTCATTTGATGTTTTTTGTCATATTACATTATACATCTGAAGATACTCTTAATGTTTCATTAGCTGGTACTTTTTTTTTAGGCTTAACAATTTATTTAGATTCTTTGAAAGGAATTTATAATTCATTTTTAGTTGGCCATTTTGGAAATAACCCCATCAAAAAAACATTACTTTTTTGTTACCATTCCATGAAAGTAACTAGAAAAAAAAGTCAGCTTCCTTTTTTAGTTTCTGTTTCCAGAAATATCCATGAGATATTTCAGATATTTCAGGTACAATATAATGGCACCATTTGGGAAAATAATGAAAATTTAATAACTTAAGCTTATGTCTTGGGTTTTATCACTAAATGCCACTGGTCTGTTCTTAGCCTTCAAGATATCTGAGAGAAGCCAAATACTTTTAATTCCTACTTTTTCTAAGAGAAATTGCTATTCAAAGAGCCAATATTAAGAAAAACATGAGTAGTGAGTAAGTCATTTCTGAATTCCTGTCTTCTTTCCCATAGTCTCTAATGGCAGGAACATTTGGGACATTGTCCCTTAGGGGATACCTTTCTCTTGTCCCGGTGCTAATGAGCATTGCAATTAAAATCCTGTTAAAGGCAAGCTGTGATTCTAGAAGAACTGTGAGATAGTGTAGACTTTACAATGAAATATTAAATTCCTTCTTAGACAAAATTGGTACTGTCACAGACTTTTGAAGGACGAGAGAGGAAGGACTTCGAAGCAACTGTGACTTATTCTATAGGAACAAAGGTTTAGGTTTTCAATGAGTTAGCTCTAACTGCTATAATTGTAGACTTAAACCATTAATAATTCTGCTTTTCTTCTTATTGATGATGAGGAAAGGCAGTCATTGTGTGTATTTACATTTTTTAAATTTTATTTATTTTTTATTTTTTATGTTTTTTGAGTTGGAGTCTCACTCTGTTGCCCAGACTGGAGTACAGTGGCTGCTCCCGGCCACCGCAGCCTCGACCTGCTGGGCTCCGGCGATCCTTCTGCCTCAGCCTTCCAAGTAGCGGGAATTACAGGCATGCGCTACCACGCCCGGCTGATTTTTTAAATGTGTAAATTTGTAAAAACAAATAGCAACTGTGGTGTTTGAAATACACAACTTAGTTTATTTATGCACATGTGATATAACAATATGTGAAAAGCAGTTGCCTAAATTTAATTTAAACTTCGAAAATGTCATTATACATGTACTTGTGCTTCTCCTCTGTTGCTACACTAAACATTATTCTCCTAATTTGACCCTAAGCATGTGTCATATTAGGGTGTGAGAGAAGTTTAGCAGACAGGGTGTAGGTGAAATCCTTAGACCATGTGTTTTTTCAAAATGTAGACCAACTATGGCATCAGAATCAGCTGGGCACTTATTAAAAAGGCAATATTTCGGTTTGCCACCTCTGTCTCAGAGCATTTTTAGCAAGAATTCAGGCAGTGCTGGACACATGGAGCACGGCTGAACAAATAATAAACTCACAGACAGTTCTTTCTCAGATAACCTCTGGGAATATTTGTATGCAGATTAGCATTTATTGAGCAGTGCATTTGAGTGATGGAGCAGGAAAGGCATCAAATGGTCTGGGAACAAAATTTAATTTAAATAGATTAAATAAAACAGCCTCCCAAACACTTAGTATGGTATTTGTGAGCCTGGGGAAAACTCAGCAAATCACAGAAGCCACCTTGCTTGAGAGAGAGAGAAATTCAGATATGAAAGGAAAGGGAGTACAGCCTACCACGGATACCAGGCTCATGGGGGTTTCCTACCAACCCTTCCACATCAGCTCCAAAAGTCTGAAAATTTCATCTTCAGTACCAGCCTGGGGAACTCCCGCTGTCAGTGTGAGTGATCTTCCTTTATAGAAATGATCAGAAATAGTAGCTTCAGGGGTGGAAGTTGTTTGAATGTGTGCCTGTGCTTGTGAAGGAACAAGTACTTTGAAGTGCTAGTCAGGGATTAGAATGTGAAACCCAGATGACTAGACTTTTTCTGTTTTTAATTCCTATATAACATTTACTTATGGCAACCTACTTGCTGGGTTGTAGTTTTATATGTTTAGTGCTAAATCTTACAGCAAAGTAGTCTTTTTCCTTTGCTCACTGGGAGATTAAACTCTGATAAGACTTGAGCTCTATTATGTGTAACCTCTCACAAATTTTCATATTCATTTTCTAATAAGCAATTTTCTCAGCACTATCGTATAGCTTTCACTCAAAACAAGATTTATAGGACGTGTATCTTTTCTGCAATATGATAGAACTGGATTTTAATGTCTCCTTATTTTAGGTTCCTGTAAGTGTTCAAGTGAATAAATATATAGTCAATGGAACATATGCTAATGAAACAAAGCTCATGATAACACAACTTTTGGAGGAAGATGGGGGATCTTACTGGTGCCGTGCATTATTCCAATTAGGCGAGAGTGAAGAACACATTGAACTTATCGTGCTGAGCTATTTGGTGCCTCTCAAACCATTTCTTGCAATAGTTGCTGAGGTGGTTCTTTTAGTGGCCATTATTCTGCTTTGTGAAAAGTACACACAAAAGAACAAGAAGCATTCAGGTATGATTTCTTTCTTTAGATAATATTACTTGATTATGATAAGTATCACTTAATTATAATATGCATTATGACTTAAAACCTTACAATGACTTTAGAGAATTTAGGAAAAATCTAATTTTTCTCACTAGGATCAGTTTTTGTGTTAGTAAGAATGGTGATATTGAGCTAGGAGCCTATGTCAATGGTCTTCCTGTTTTCATTTCTAAAAGATTTCAATATTAAAATCTTTTTTCTTCCTTTTCTTTTGGTGCTACTGGTACCTAAGCACCAATTTTGGTATTGGAATGTAAAAAATATCTGTAATCGCTTAATATAAAAGTTCTCAAAGACAACTGATTCTTTCACATAGATAATTCATTTTAAAAATATTTAAAAACACTCATTAAAATATTTTAAAACTTTCTGGAGTTCTTTTTTTTTATTTTTATTTTTTGAGTTGGAGTCTCATTCTGTCGCCCAGACTGGAGTGCAGTGGCCGCTCCCGGCCACCGCAGCCTCGACCTGCTGGGCTCCGGCGATCCTTCCGCCTCAGCCTTCCAAGTAGCCGGAACTACAGGTGCGCACTACCACGCCCAGCTAATTTTTTTTTTTTTTTAATTTATTGTAGAGATGAGGTCTTGCCCGCCCAGGTGGGTCTCGAACCCGCGGGGTCAGGCAATCCACTCACCTCAGCCTCCCAAAGGCGCGGGATTACAGGCTTAGCCACCAAGCCCGGCTGGAGTTCTTATAAAAGATACATTGTCCAATCAGTTTTTTTTTTTTTTTTTTAATTTGTGTTTGATGGATTACGGTTTGAGAAAGCAGTGGTTCCTTAGGAAAACAGATTTTACATCCTGTATTCTTTCTTGATCTTACACTAAATTTTTAATATCTTAAATAGTGACAAACTAATCAATAATACTTTTGAAGATACCAGGGCATTGAACTATGCTTGATCAGAAATGCAGGTAGGGTAAGGAGTGTAGATAAAGAAGAAGGTAGGAAGAAAGTGCAGCTATCTAAGGTAGCATGTCTCTCCTTCATTCCCAAGAGGAAACAGCACAGTGCATTCTTAGTTGGTGGGGGGTGCTTAGTTGAGCATGTTTGTTACATAAAAATCAATAAACCAGCCTTAATAGCCAAATTCTTCTTTTGCTACACAGATGACGGGAAAGAATTTGAACAAATTGAACAACTGTAAGTGTTATTTTTTACAGATTAATTTTCACTTGAGTAAAATACAGATAAATATGAAATTGAATGAAATGTTTGCAGTTAGGCAAAAAAGCACAGCAATATCTTTTGTGTGTGTTATTTTCTGCACGTGTCTACATGGTGGTGAAAAGTGACATCCCAAGTCTGCCTGCCTGTATTAGAATCTCTCTTCATCATTTACTACCTGCACGTCTCTGTGCTTTAGTTTTCTCCTCTACAAAATGTGTTTAATAGTAGTATGACCATGTAAGCCTGTTGGATTGAATGAACATTATATGTGTGTAAATGCTTAGCCCAGGTTTTGATGTCCAGTGAAGGAGATGCCCAGGACTGGAATTGAAGTCTGAGCAATAGAGCTGAGGGCTGGGGGCCAGAAAATGAGACCAAGTTAATGTTGCTGAAAGAAATCTGAAAAATAGGAGGCTAAGCAACTGCTACTGAAACAAATTGGCACTTGTAGTTGATCTTTATCAGCCAAAGGGAGCTCGGAAAATAAATAGCCACAAATAGGAGTGAGACAGACAGTTGTCAACTCCGATGTTTGTAGATGTGATTCAAACAGTCGTTTACTCAGTTTGCATATAACAGGTAGTATAAATCAATAAGATATGAGCTTCCAAATTAAGGGCACAAAATAATAGCATCAGAAGTCTTATAACCCCAGTGTTATAAACAGGGAAAGCAGTGTTGTCTTGTAGTTGGAAAGAATTGTCCCTCTCCCAAGGCAATCTGTTCTTTTTTTGGAGAAATTGGTCTTCTTGTTTGTATTGATTTGAACTTTCAGTCTTTCTGATTCCTATGTATTTGGTCCTCTTTCTTATTCTTAAAATAATATAAAAAACATGACAGCTATTCACATCTTTGAAGACAGAACTTGTCCAGATTCCCTTGTTCTCTCAACTCAGCCTCCACTGTCTCTAACCACATTCCTCTGAGCTCACAATTGGAAGGTTGAATTCCGGTTTAAGACACACTTTAAAAGGATGGTGCCACCAGTGTGGAATGGACTATCAGTTCGAAATAATTTAATTTTTATTTATATAGTCTACCCTATTCTTCACTATTTTTTCTGGAATATTTTAGGAACAATGTCAAATTGATTCAATTTACAATATAAAGAATTAACTTTCTTTTTTCTTCTTTTGAAAATTGGGATGATGTACATCATTTTTTTCCGTCCTGTACTGTGCCATGGAGATTATTGAAAGTTTATTTTTCTCTTCTTTAGGTTTATCAATATCTTTAGACTTAATACAAATATCAAGGATACATGAACTCATTCAGAGCAACTTTTTACCAATGCTTCTTTTAAAATTTTTAGTTAGGAGATAATCTTTTTCCGCAGAAAATATTTTAGTATGTATTATACAAAGTATATTTCCTATGTAATGTTTATATATCTGTTTAGATATCCACAATTCATACAAATTTCTTGGTGAAAATAAGTTTAAAAAGGATACTAAACAAAACAAGGCAGTCACTTTAAATAGTTCATTGAGGAGCTTATTCATTTATCTGATCTACTCAGATACTTAATACTCACAAACTCCACCTACCAGCACCTTCCTACCTCAATTTCAGCATAGTTGAAAGAGTGGTTGAATTTATTATATAGTGGTAATAGTTAAAGGAACCCCAGCCTGCCCATAAGATCTTGAAAGGGCATTCATTATATATACTTGTTACTATTGTTAGTCATTCTTAAGAATCTGAGACCTATAGTTATAGTGTTGCTATAACAAGCATTGGGTAAAGAACCATGCTTAGTCTCTAATTCAACATAACAAAGAAGTATACTTATAGCACCTGTATACATGTTGACTGAGCTCCTAATTGGCTATTACCCTGAATGTGCAAACAAACACATATTCTTTTTTTTTTTAAGGTAAAATTTGTTTTATTTGCGGAGTACACTTGTATGGTAGACTGTAGCTTAAGTCCCCTCTTGTACTTGGGGAGAGGCAATGTTTCCTGTGCATAAAATAAACAAGCCTTTGTCACCATTACCTGTGGCAACAGCTCCTCTCCAAGCAATGCCACAAAAATAAAATCAACATTATGAGTAAAACATTATTAGGAAGAATGAGTTCTGTTTGTCTTGATATTTTATGTTTTAACCACAACGATGATATAAATGATATACTAACTTAATTTTATAAATGTAAACATCTAGTAATTTTTGTTGTTTTTTTTTTATACAGGAAATCAGATGATAGCAATGGTATAGAAAATAATGCCACTAGGCTCAGAAAAAATGTAAGTTATTTCTGAATGTTATTTGAAATTCAATGTACATAGGCTATCTATTAATCCAGTTACTTCTGTTTTCATTTTTAAAAGATGTAGTCATTTACTATGTGCTTATATATATGCTTGTTTATACAACTACAGGGAAAAATATACAACTATAGGGAAAAATATACATTATGTTATAGAAAAATAAATATCTAATTTTCCACCAGAGAACACAAAGCAACCAATCTAAAAGTAAATCTTTTGAGCTGTCTCTATGTTTTTTCTTTCATTTCCATGAGCTAGTTTCTTTTACCACTTTTGATGTAGTTTTATTTTGTTTACCTCTCAAATTTTCTACTATTTCATTCACATATAGTACCATATATTTGATGTTATGACTAATCCACATTAACTAATTTCCTCTATTGATTAGATTAACATTTTCTTAGTTCCCCTATATAATAATAGGAGATGTTTGTTTTGGCAGTAGATTGGATCCCTCACTTCCCAGTGCTTGTTGCTTTGCTAAAGTGATTGCAAGTTATTACAGAATACCATGCTAATTATGTTTCATTATGCTTATTTAACTCAGGAATCTGTGAGCCAATGAATGCAAAGCATCATATCAAGAATCATGGGAAGAAATACAAGGAGTTGGTATTTCAGCTTTGTTTATCTATTCTTCCTATTAAGAACATCAGAGTTTTTATTTTAAAAGGATGAAATGTTTATGCAACATGCTTAGCAAAAGCTTCATAAATAATAAATTGTATGTAAAATCTAAAAATATATTTTTATTCTGTAGTTGTTTTACATTAAAGTAAGGTAAATTGTAGTAAATATATATGTTCTATGAGTTATACCTCAGGATAATTAATTTTATTCTGATCTTCAAAGGCACACAGAACAGATACTAGCAACATCACTTAATAGTTCATAGAACAAAAGTCACTCAAGACCTGCTTATAACCAAAGAATTCATTAAAGAGAAAGCTTTTGCTGTTTGTCTTAGGAAAAATTTTTTCATTCTTACTAAGTATAGAATTCTTTGTAATAAATTTCATGTAAAGTTTGTCCTTTTGTGACATAGAAAAAAATTTCTTCACTAAAAAATGAATACTTTCTGCCTTTGCTAATAATAATTACTCTACAACCTCCACAAGAAAAGCATACTTTTTATCCAGAAATATTGTTAAGGCAAGAAAATAAAACCACACGCTTGCCCCAAAGCCCTGTCACTACAAAATCAGAATTTCCAATCTTTATTCCACTCATAACCACTGCTTTTTTCACAGCAGGCTAAAATACTTCTTAGTCTTTTAGTAAAGCATTTTTTTAAGTTTCAGGGTATGGGCTTCTTAAGTTACATTATTGTTGTTTTAGAGTATATGTCTGTATAGTCATAATACAACACTGCTACACTGGTGCTTTTGTGGTTCATGGTTTCTTGATATCTGTGACTGGTCAAATATCTAAAAATGTATTATTTGTGCTTTACAATGATAATTCCTTTGACTGAAATCCAGAAGTACTGAAATTCTTCTTTTATGTTATTGTGAATACCTTAGACTTATCTTCAAAAACAGGATACTTAGTTTCCATTGCATATATAAGCACAGTATTTTATAATCAAATCATATACAATCTAAATCAGCATGAAAGGTTATTGACTTTGAATGAAATGTTAAAATCACGTTACAGGATACTAGATGAGGTCAAAGACCATGATGTGAAACCTACTGGACATCCTTGGAGCTAGAAGGTCCAACCAATATCCCACTGCTCATGGGGCAACAGGGTTAATAACAGGGAGGCTGAGGTGAGTGGATTGCCTGAGCCTGCGGGTTCGAGACCCGCCTGGGCAACTTGGCAAGACCTCATCTCTACAATAAATAAAAAATTAGCTGGGCATGGTAGCGCGCGCCTGTAGTTCCAGCTACTTGGAAGGCTGAGGCGGAAGGATTGCTGGAGCCCAGCAGCTCGAGGCTGCGGTGGCCGGGAGCGGCCACTGCACTCTAGTCTGGGCGACAGAGTGAGACTTCAACTCAAAAAAAAAAAAAACAAGCAAAGAACAGTCAGAAGCAAAGAGGGATGAGCTTAGGATGGTGGCAAAGGACCCACACTTCTTGGTCACTAAGGGATTAAAGCTTAGGGGAAGAGGAATTCAATGATTTGAAAAGAAATACTTTGTAGAAATTTACACTGTATAATGGCTAAGAAAATTATGATATAATTTTGGTATTGAAAGTTATTTGACATCTTAACTAATGTTTACCAATATTGCTATTATGAATGATACACATAAGATAGTTACTTGGAAGCTGCTCATTATTTTGTTCCTGTAACAACATGAAGTATTCTGTTGTCAAGAATATTAACTAGACACATAAGTTTTGTTGAGCTAAAATACATCCCTTAGTTAATAGCAGACTTCATTTTATTCTTGCTCTCAGAGCCCATGCATTTATTTTGGTTTAATTCATTATTAATTTGACACTATCTTGGGTGATTTCTATATAATGACAGACAACCCATCAGTTGGCTTAATGAATCTAAACAATTTGAATTCAGTGAAACAATTAGTCAAACTGCCGTTTGACTAAGTCCAGTTCAAAGCAGTATATATGCGACTGAATATATAGAAAACAAACAAAAATATGTAACTCATTTGCAGTATGCTTTCTTCCATTTTGTCACCATGACTGAGTCTATAATAGTTTTCAAGCAAGAAAAGTTGCTGCCCAGAGGTAAAATAATCTAAAATATTTATATAGTAAATTGAATTTTTAAGCGGCAGTGCTTGCTACTTGTTTTTATAGTGAAGACAATTTATTTCAGTAACTTTAAGCAGAAAAAAAGTACTCAGAAATTAAAGTCAAGTTTTGGCTCTTCAGAGTCCCTCTGGAGGACTTTTGGAAAATTACCACTGTTAGATTAAAAATGGACTGCTTCCATTAACTTACCTCATAGAGATGATAAATGAATTAACTAATAATGACCAATTATAAATAACAAGCAGCTGAAAAGCTGAAGCAGGAAAACTACTCCAAGTTTATATATTAGACACCTTGGGAAATTCTTTTAATCTTTCTACCTAACAAGTTTTTCAGCATAACAAGTAGATTTAATGATGTCATAAATTTTTCAGCTACTTTCATATTCAGTTTATACTAAAGTGTAAATCTTCCTTTGCAATCGTTCTGCTTTTTTCCCCAACATCTGGTTACTCAGGCCCAAATCAAGAGCCTGAGTGATATTTTATTAACTAATACTTACGGGTCATGAGTCCCTGTTCCCTTGATCTTCTTTTCTTTTTTAGTTTAGAAAATATAGTTATTTTAAAAGTAAATGAGAGAGAGAAAGGAGATTCACCTCCCCAAGGCAGGGGAGGGGGCCAAGGCTGGAAAACATGGTGACCTTGGCTCAAGGGATCACATGGTCAGACCATGGCTTAGCAAGGCAATGGCCCCTTTGATCTTATTAGCTCGTGAAACCACTCCATTGCCCCCTCTCTCCTGCCCTCACCAGCTGCAACAGTTAATGCCTTGATTTTCCTACCTCAGTCTTCTCTCCATTTTCTGCATGGCTGCCCAACTCCTCTTTGTAAAACACAAACCTCATTATGCAACTTAGTGTGGCAGGTTCCACGTCAAACCTCTGCAGGCTCACCATTTCTTAATACTGCATTCCCCAAATTGCTGATCTCCCTTTAGAGTCTTGAGCTAGCCTTAGCACATAGAGATCTGGCCCCAAATACCCTCTCTGAACTTCTCCCTGCTTGACTAACTCAAGGTTAGCTTTCAAGACTTGAATCAATGTTGCATCTTGGAGGAGCCCTTATACCCAGTGGGGCGTGTGTATCATCTAATGTGCTCAAATAACTGCATGTTTTTGTGTTAGTATCCTGTGTTATAAATATATATTTGTTTGTCTGTCTCCTGAATTTTGCCTTTTATTTCTTTGTCCTGTACCTGCCACAAAAGGGTACATGAGATGTGTCTTGAAATGTGTATTAATGGATGAATTATAATCACATTTTATAAATCTGTATTTATTTTTAGAAATACAAACTAAATTAAATCAGAATTGAAAAAAATTCTAATAGAGAAAAACAAGCTTTTATAACTTAAATGTTTGCTTCAGTTACTTTGAAAAACACATAATAATAAGATAAAAGGTCCAGTCAGATTTTTAAAAAAATATGTTAATGTCTTGTGAGAAAAGGAGTTCTTAATTCTTAAATTGCTATATGGAATATATTACTTTCAACTTATTTAAATTCCTATTGTTCTTTATGTTTCATGGATGGCACAAACGTAAACTTTATTTTTTTCCTTTATTTTAATAAGAATGCGTCGACTTTAAGCATGTACCTTTCGTGGTACACAGTACCTTTCATGGTACTGTAGAGAGTTGATATTTGTGTTTGCTCCACCAAAATTCTTATTCCACTTCCCCTGCCAGTATACTTCAGAATATCCCAGAATCCAATTCAAAATTCAATCTTAAAAGGAACAATTTTTTTTAAAAAGTTTTTTTTTATGTAGTTTAGATCACTGAAAGCATTTCTTCCATCAGATTAATCAAAAGAAAAAACTGTCAGTTTTGCTTGCTTGTTTTCTGTGTCTTCATCTTTGTGGCACTTAAACAGGTTTTTGAAAAACGACTGAATGTCTAATATCCTTCTCAATAGGAAAATGAATCTTTACTAACTGAACCAGTTTATGCAAAGAATTGGGGACTTTCTCATTAGCATTGTTCATCATCAGGTGGGAATAAGTTCAAGTATGTATTCCAGTATTAGTGAAAGGCACAACAACCTACTTGTTCCATGCTCTGAATAAATATTTATTGAATGAATGAAAAAACAGAAGAATGACTCAATTATTTTAGAATTTTATGTTATACATATTTATGTAATATCTACTTTAACATTTGATTAATTGAGCATAAACTTATCTGGTACTGAGAAAAAGAAAGCTGGAACTATGAGCACTTATTTCATATGATGTTTATGAATGTATCTAGAAGGTCAGTTACATGCCTGTTTACCAGGTGGGTTCTTCATTAAGGGTAATAAGAACAACTGAAAGTTTTTGAGTGAATAGTGTGTGACAGGCACTGTGCAAAATCCCTTGATGTCTGTATTTGTCATCTAAGTTTTTAATATGCATGTTGTTCCTTTAGTTGGTCAGTTGTATATAAATTCCTTAATCTTATTCTCAAGACTTTTGCAATCCATGCTTTGGCATTCTTCTGCCCCTGCAGTTGTACTGGGGAAATCAACACACATTTGTTTTAGGACTCCTATTTTCCTTCTTTCTTTTTTCCTAATTTTACTTATCAATTGTGAGGATGATCATAAAATTTATCGCCCAAACACTGAAAATGAAAGAAGATACTATTTATGATTTTACAAGGACAGCAGGTAGAAATCAGACCCACTAGTCGCATTTTTAGCCTGCAGAGAGGTACTAAGTACTTTATGGATGGTCTGTGCTAGACACAGCAGTAACATCTGCAGCAAGCTGGAATGATAAACAGAAATTTACTTTCAGGAAAATAACCATTTTTAGTAAATGCAGGAAAGAAACCATTTTAAATAAATATCAGGTGTGTCTCAGGTAGAGAAGTGCCTATAATGAGACAACTTAATAAGCTTAATATTTTGTTACTTTTCAAAAGTATCTAAATGATTAACTGTTATTGGCATTTAAAAGTATAATTCTTGTATTCTCTGACCTATGGCATGAACTGGGCAAGTCTTTGGACTTACATATCTTTTGA